TCTAGGCAAACATTTTGAACATGTTCCTAATTTTTATTGGTGTGGTGTTATACTTTTGTTTATTTGCAAGGGAAGTACGTATAATAAATAACATTCTTGGTTATATTGTATCAAATTTATGTGAATATATTGTATAATATAATATCATATAGTACACATGCTCTATGCAAATTAATGTATGCCTTGCATTCAAGCATTTCTTTTCCTGACCAGGAATTTGAATGTAATGTGTATCAGGACAAATGACTTTTCTTATTGTGAACTTTTATTATTTAGTTAATTATTCCTGTTATTTTAAACATTTTAGTTTCCTATTACATTAGTAAAAATGCACTAGATTGATCATATAATATGTAATATGTTACTCTGAAAATTCAGTGGAAATGTCACTGTTGAAAAATTAATCTTGATGAACAGAAGTTGAGAATGTAAGTTGTATGTATTGGGTATTTATCAATCTTTATTTTTAATGACTTATTGTATCAATACCTGTAAAAAATAAAATTTGTTTTCAAAGTTTTTCAAGTGTCCAGTACTGGAATGTTTGCCCAAAATACTCTGTTGTAATTTTGCTTATTGAAGAAGTGAACCACATTCCAATTGCACTTAGATCTAAAAAGGTAGGTGACAGAGTGAGGATTGCCTCAGTAACCCTCTGTGTGAAAGATAAAAAATAAAGGCAGTGAAAAGTAAAAAATAAAATCAATGAGAGGTAAAAAAAAGGCAATGAAAGGTGAAAAATAATGGGAAAAAATATTCATTGAGGAACAGTATAGAGGTGTCGATAATGTAGCAGACTAGAGTGGTCCAGTGTGCAACTCATCCTCAGACCATACATAAAGAATATTGTTTCTATCATAGTGGCAGCCATGTCGACCTCGCTGCCAGTAGTTACCCTCCTGTTTATATAATTTATTTTGGCTATTAACTCTGTGTATATTTATGTCTATTTATGGTACACTAGATTATTCAATGTTTTAAGCTAATAGTTTACTCAGAAAGCAACACATTGTAATGCACAAGGAAATGAACAGTGTCACTTGAGGATGGGATGTAGTATGAGGTGTCAGTGAAGGAAAGGATTATCAGTGAGCAGAGTGACAACCCTGGGAGAAAGGGCTGCCCCATAACTTTCCCTTGTGGCAACTATAGCTAATCAGTTAAACTTATACTTTAGACAATATTGTTAATTATTAAATAGAATTTTATTTATTAGTAGCTTTTTATGTATTTTTATATTTTCCTTTAAATTAAAAATATAAATGAAAATGTGACAAATTATAAAAAGTTTTCATTCAGATGTGGCTGTGAATTTTTGTAATGCATCAGAAGTGAGATGCACAGCTTTGTGAGAGATGCTGCTGTGAAGCAAACATTCTTTTGTGATCTTCATACTCCAGATAGAAATAAAAATGATGCACTGTGGAACTATAGTATAATGTTTTCTATGAAAATATATGTATGGAATAAAGTATGATTTTATATTCATACCTTTTAATGTTTTTACTTATAAATATTGTAGGTAGTAGGTTGGTAGACAGCAGCTGCCCAGGGAGGTACTACCGTCCTGCCAAGTGAGTGTAATTGTTTTACATGATGGTAGGATTGCTAGTGTCCCTTTTTCTGTCTCATAAACATGCAAGATTTCAGATACGTCTTGCTGCTTCTACTTACACTTAGGTCACACTACACATATATGTACAAGCATATATATACATACCCCCCTGGGTTTTCTTCTATTTTCTTTCTAGTTCTTGTTCTTGTTTATTTCCTCTTATCTCCATGGGGAAGTGGAACAGAATTCTTCCTCTGTAAGCCATGCGAGTCGTAAGAGGCGACTAAAATGCCGGGAGCAAAGGGCTAGTAACCCCTTCTCCTGTATATATTACTAAATGCAAAAGGAGAAACTTACGTTTCTCCTTTTGGGCCACCCCACCTCAGTGGGATACGGCCGGTTTGTTGAAAGAAAGAAGACTTATAAATATGT